CATAAAAAATGAAAAAAAAAAAAAAAGAGACTGTCCTTGCTCTAGGGATTTGTTTTAGCTCTTTTATCAAAGATAAATTGGTTTTAGATGCATGGATTGATTTATGGAGTTCCTATTCTGTTTCATTGGTCTATGTGTCTGTTTTTGTGCCAGTACCAGGCTGTTTTGGTTCTGACTGCCCTGTAGTAAGTCTTGAAATGATGTATTGTGTTTCCTCCAGCTTTTTTTGTTGTTGTTGTTGTTGTATAAGATTGCTTTAGTGGGGCTGGCACTGTGGTATAATGGGTAAAGCCTCCACCTGCAGTGCCAGGATGCCATATGGGCACTGGTTCAAGTCCCAGCTGCTCTACTTCCTATCCAGCTCTGTGCTGTGGCCTGGAAAGGCAGCAGAGGATGGCCTAAGTTCTTGGGCCCCTGCACCCGCATGGGAGACGTGGAGGAAGTTACTGGATCCTGGCTTTGGATCTGCGCAGCTCCAGCCATTGCAGCTAGTTGGGGAGTGAACTAGCAGATGGAAGACCTCTCTCTGCTTCTCCTTCTCTCTCTGTGTAACTCTGACTTTCAAATGAATAAATAAATCTTTAACAAAAATGATTGTTTCAGCTTTTTGGGATCTTTTGTGTTTCTATATCTATTTTAGCATCATTTTTCTAGATCTGTAAAGAATGTCATTGGTATTTTGATTGGGATTGCATTGAATCTATAAATTGCTTTTAGTAGTATGGATATTTTGATAATGTTGAAACTTCCAATCCATGGAAATGTAAGATATGTAAATTTTTAATGTCTTCTATTTCTTTGTTTAGTGTTTTGTAATTTTCATCAAAGAGGCCTTAGACATCCTTGGTTAAATTTATTCCAAGGTATTTAATTCTTTCTGTAGTTATTAGGAATTGGACTGATCTTAAAACTTCTTTCTTAGTCATGGCATTGCCCATGTATATAAAGGCTATTGGTTTTTCTATGTTGATTTTATATCCTGTCACTTTACTGAAGTCTTTTATGAGTTCTAGTAGTCTCTCAGTACAGTCTTTTGGATCTCCTATATATAGAATCATGTCATTTGCAAATAGGGAAAGTTTGAATCCTCCTTTCCAATTTGTATCTCTTTTATTTATTTTTCTTCCCTAATGACTTTGGGTAAAACTTCTATATATACTATATTAAATAGCAGTAGTAAGAGCAGGCATCCTTGTCTGGTTCCAGATTTCAGGGGAAATGTTTCCATCTTTTCACTCTTTCATATTATGCTGGCTTTGGGTTTGCTATGCAATGCCTTGATTTTGTTGAGGAATGTTACTTCTATACCCAATTTGCTTAAGGGTTTCAACATGAAAGGGTGTTGTATTTTATCAAATGCTTTCTCTGTATCTATTGAGATAACCAAATGTTTTTTTTCTTCAGTTTGTTAATGTGATATGTCACATTGATTGATTTGCAAATGTTGCATACTATGGATAAATCCCACTTGTTCCAGATGAATGATCTTTCTGATGTGTTGTTGGATTCTATTAGCTAATATTTTCTGAGGATTTTTTACATCTATGTTCATCAGGAATATTGGTCTATAGTTCTCTTTCTCTGTTGCATAATTTTCAGATTTATATATTAAGGTGTTGTGTCTTCATAGAAGTTTAGGAGGATTCCCTCCCTTTCATTTATTTTGCATAGCTAGAGAAGAATTGGAGTTAGTTCTGCTGTGAGTCTGTGCCCTCCGCATAGTCCATGCCATCTTTCCCACTCCTGTAGGACTTCCAGTGTAATTTTCTCTCCAATTCTCTCCTGAGAGTACATTTCTTACAATTTTCTCTTCACTGTTTATCTTTAGCCCTGTATAGAATGTTGCTCTCTAATCTGCCATCTTGGAATCCCAGCTGTCCCACTTCTGATCCAGCTCCCTGTGAATGTGCCTGGGAAAGCAGCAGAGGGTGATGGTGCATATGCTTTGGTCCTTGCCACCCACGTGGTGGACCTGGATGAAATTCCAGGCTCCTGGCTTCAACCTGGCCCAGCCTTGACCATTGTGATCATCTAAGGGAGTGAACCAATAGATGAAAGATTTCTTTCTCTCCCTGTCTCTCCCTATTTTTCTCTAAATATGCCTTTCAGATAAATAAAAAATTAATCTTTTTTTGAAAGAACTTGTGTTAGCAGGTTTCAAGATCTATTCTAAATCTGTACTAAGACAACATGACATTTTCATAAAGAAAACCAAATCAAGGAATAGAATAGATTTTCTAGTAATAGAACAATTCACTTCCATCAAAGACAACACTAAAGGATGTTGGGCAAAGAACAATCTATTAATAAATGCCTGTCCTTGGAAGGAAATTACACTTTAACTCTATTTCATATAATACACAAAAATAAATTTCAGTTAGATTTTTTATCAAAATGTGAAAGATAGAAACATAAAATTATAAAAGCTAAGATAAGGGAATATCTTTAAAATCTCCAGGCAAAGATTTCATGAAAATGATTCTCAAATGTAATAAATAAGAAAAGACTGCCAGTAGATAATAAAACAACAAAATTAAGATATTTTATGAATGGAAGGGGAGAGGGAGTAGGAAAAGGGAGGGTTGCAGGTGGCAGGGACGTTATGGGGGGGAGCCATTGTAATCCATAAGCCGTACTTTGAAAATTTATATTCATTAAATGAAAGTTAAAAAATTAAAAAAAGATATTTTATGAATAAAATAAAAAACAGGTCACTGAGTGGCAGTACCCATTTGTATCATAAGTAAATAACAAAAAGAAAATGTGAAGACTGTACAAAGAACCACCGCAGATCAGTAAAAAATAGGTAAGGGAGTTGAACAAACATTTCATAATAGAATATATCCAAATACCCATAAATATATGGAACAGTGCTCTACTAATTGGCAAATAACACATTATGGTTCCTAAGAGTAACAATATGAACCCTCAAATGGCTAAAATAACAGTGACTCATCATAAAGCTACAGACACTTTCTTTTTTTTAAGAATGCTTGAAAGGCAGCATTACAGGGAGAGAGTGAGAAATGGAGAAGATGGAGATCCTCCATCTACTTGCTCATTCTCCAGATGGCTGCAACTGCCGGGGCTGGGGCTGTCTGGAGCCAAAAGCCAGGAGCCAGGAGCATCTTTCAGGTCTCCCATGTGGGTGCAGGGGCCCACATTTTGGGCCATCCTCTGTTGCCTTTCCAGGCACAACAGTAAGGAGATGGATTCAAAGTTGAACATTTGGGACTCGAACTGGAACCCACATGGGATGCTGCCATCACAGGTGGCAGCTTTACCCGCTATACTATAATGCCAGCTATTACAGATACTTTTTTTTTTTTGACAGGCAGAGTGGACAGTGAGAGAGACAGAGAGAAAGGTTTTCCTTTGCCATTGGTTCACTCTCCGATGGCTGCCGTGGCCGGCACGCTGCAGCCAGCGCAGCGCGCTGATCCAATGGCAGGAGCCAGGTACTTATCCTGGTCTCCCATGGGGTGCAGGGCCCAAGCACTTGGGCCATCCTCCACTGCACTCCCTGGCCACAGCAGAGAGCTGGCCTGGAAGAGGGGCAACCGGGACAGAATCCGGCACCCCGACCGGGACTAGAACCCTGTGTGCCGGCGCTGCTAGGTGGAGGATTATCCTGTTGAGCTGCGCCGCCACAGATACTTTCTTATACTAGGTTAGAAGCATTAATCAGTATAATTGCTAATTATATATTAGTTATGATATATGTACACTCTATGGTCTTGAACTCTTACTCTTAGTTATCCAACAGACGTGAGTACAAATGTAAATTAGGAGGATATATATATATATATATATATACTATTCATAGCAGCATTACTTATTATAGCTAAACAACCTAAATGTCCATCAATAGTAATATAGATAAACTGTGCAACAGTTATACAATACAAATATATACAGCAATGAAAATGAATGAAGTATCACTATAGGCAATGGTGTGACTGAATCTCACCAGCAGAACTCTAAAGAAATAAACTAGGCACAATTCTGTATTATGACAGATGCATGAGTCCAATCACAAAATATTGTGAAAAATAACTCTAGTTTTAGGCGTAAGACAATAGATCGTTTTTGTGGAGGAGAGAGGTCTCAGTGACAGAGAGAGGGTATGAGGGAATGCTTTTGAAGTGCTGACAGTTTATCAATGTTTATGTTGGTTTTATATAATTTTGTTTATGTGCTAAGCTTCGCAATAAAATAGGGTAAAAAAGGTGAAATAGTCATTGGTGTCCTTCAAGAGAACAATGTCAGCAATATTCCTGAGATGGTAAAGGTAGCAACAGGCTGGGAAGGGTCACATTCATGGTGTTAGCAGTAGAAGAAATGGGGAGAAAAAAATACTATCATAATTATTGTGCTACATTAACATTATATTTATTTATTAGAAAGGTGGAGAGAGAGAGAGAGAATCTGCCATCCACTGGTTCACTCCTCAAATGCCTACAACAGCCAGGACTAGGGCTGAGTCAGGCTGAAGCCAGGAAGTTGGAACTCTTTCTGGTTCTCCAACATGGGTGGCAGGGACAAAAGCACTTAGGCCATTGCTTTCTGCCTCCCAGGGTGTGCATTAATAGGAAGCTGGATGGAAAGTAGAGTTGATACATGAATGTAGGCTCTTCTATATGGAATGGGGGTGCCCTTAGAGGTGTCTTGCCAAATGCCCCCTCTCATTGTAGTACATTTTTAGCTATTAGCAACACATTCTTTATTCAAGGATAAGATGCCGTAAATTTCCCTTTTTATTTCTTCAAACATTTTCATAAAATTCTCCTGATGAAAATTTCTTATCTTTTATTTTGATACCTATGCATATTACACAAATACTAGATTGAGGAAGAAATAGACCTTCTCTTCTAAAGAGCTACCTTCACAATTTTGTTCAATCCATATGACACCTGGGACTGAAAATTGAAGGAAGATACAGCTATATTGGCTGGACAAAAGAAAATAACTTGTGGAATTTTTTCCATTTTTCCTTTTAGGATAACTGAAAAGACTTCCTGCTCCCAGCATGCCTAAAACTCTCTGTGGATGAGGAGACTTTTACTGCAGCCCTGAAAGAGCCTCTGCTTCTCTGGCTATCTAAAACAACACCTGGGATGATCACAAGGGAAACTGGATGAAAGGCATCTATTGTTGCTAAACTTATCACATTGTACACTGTGATTTGTGTCTGTATCCAGTTTTTAAAAAAGTAAAATGAGAGTTAAATTGGTGGTGAGGCAGTTTCTTAGAGAGAGTTCTCTCTTGCCCTAGAGATAGAAACAAAATGGAACATGAAAGAGAGGAGAAACTTCACAGATAAAGCATTCAGAAAAGAATTGAGTCAGAAATGAGGTATAATTCTGCTGCCTTGATAAAAACATTGTTTTATTCAAAGTCCTTTGGGTTGGGAGCAATTGTCATTACCATGACTTTGATTGTAGAGTCAGGAATAATGATAAGATATGCAAAATTCCATCACTTTTCATTTAACTGTCTCTGGGAGTTGGTGTCCCTAACAAGCAGAATTTTACCTGCTGAAATATCCAAACTGGTTGATTAGATTCATTAACTTTTCAGAATGTATATGGGTTGTGCTGATGATCAGCAAGATTACTACTGAATTTATTATAAAAGCATTGATATTAAGAATTGGATTTGGTCCATCATCTCCTCCTGTGGAAATAATTATCCCAAGCAATTTGAGATGCCTATTGCTGCAGATGGAGTGGGAAATACACTCCAAACTCTAATATAAAGATTTTTTAACCTAAAATATGTGAAACATGTTCAGTTTTTCAGAGAAAAGTCTGAGATCTAACAAATCCATAAAACAACAAAGAATTCAGAGCAAAGCATTCTGTTTCAAACATGAAGCATTTTAAAGGCAAGGGCAGATAAAATCATGTGAATTTTTAATCTTCCTATCTTAAATGAATGAGTGATACATTTCTAATGACAATTTGAGGACATATATCTTGATTTCTATGTTATTTTTGCCATATTATTGATTTTAACACTACTAACTCTTCAACTGCACTTTCTAAGGATTGCTTTCACACTGCCATTTTGGGGAAAATCATTTTGTCACTTGCAACTAACTTGTACAAGTGTACTTTGAACAGATTATGAAAAATGGAGTTAAAGAATAAGTTTATTTTGATACAAAAATTGAAATTCATGCATTCAAATGATCTTCAAAAGGTCATGGAAAATGCATAGTATGAAAAATGCATGACTTTTGACTTTTTTGCACCAAAAATAAGCATTTTAATTCAATTTTTGCATGAAATTTTCAGAATGCCCTAATGTCTGTCTGCCTTAAGAAATGATAATGGTTTTATGACAAACTGTCTTCATGACTTGTTGATTTGTTAGACAGTAATCTCGGATTGTGTAAGGCAGGAACAAAGAAAAATGCACTACAGTCTCATGCGTTATGAAGATACAAGCTAATTTTATTTACCTATTAGTAAATTTCATCAATTACTTATTGCAGTTATTCAATGATTTAATTTAAACTATATTGGGGATAGTTGCCTAGATCTCTTTCTAGTTTATCTTCATTTAAGTGCATGGTTCAAGATTTGGGGCCACTAAACTGGGGGTTACATAGGTGATGAAGTAAACAGCCTGGTCAAGCTCTCCTTGGCTCAAATAGTAGACACACTGGCATTGATTGTGTGTGGACGCCTGATTGCATTAATGACCCCCATTCTCTCCATATCTACCTCCTTTGCCTTGTAATTATTAGTACCCTCTGGTCTGGTATTCAAAATCACTTTGACTTTGGGCTTAGCAATCACTTGCCTTCCATAAGGGCATGCTGGCAAATGTAACCTAAACTTAAATATGAAAATATGCTTTTGTACTTTAACTCATTCTCTTGTCCAAGATGTCCCATCATTGGCTATCTTAGATCAACCAAGAGGTAGCCACAGCCACCTTCTCACTGGTGAGTGATGTTGGCAAATCTAAAGAATTGTTAAGCAAAACTCAGCCCAATAGTCCACAGATCCCTGAGTCAATTACATACTTGTTGTCTTAAGCCATTGAGTTTTGTAGTAGGTTGTTACACAGCATCACTGTGGACTGCAGATAGAACTTCTGGTTTTGTGGTAAAATTGGCAATACCTTGCTCAAAATCTCATTAGTGTTGTCATTTTGCCTATAACATTGTCAGAGCTGACTGGAAGGGAACATCAAAACATTAACTGCTAAATATTCCGTTATTTGGTTTTTATATTTCATCAATTATATGCAGTAAGTTGTTATATATGGATAGGAATGTCCCATTATTTAAAAAATTATGAAAGCCTTCTTATATTTAAATCAACTGTCCCAGGCATTATTTAACCTTCACACAAACTTTGTGTGGAAGGTACCATTATTATTTCCATTTACAAACAAGGAAAGGGCTCAGGGCTGTTAGTTCTTTGTCCCAGGTCACAACTAGCTAAGTGGAAGAGCCTCCTTTTCATCTGTAATCTTTCAAGTAAGCTAAGATAACATAGACAGCCAATGGTTTTTCTTACATCAGCAAAATTACACACATTACCTATGTAATTGATTTTTTATAATGACAAGTGGGAAAGGTTACTGCCAAACTAGAATTTTTAGGAATTCTCGAGAAGTACCCTGGTCACTGAGTCTATTGGCAGTCTTGGGTTTCTGATTTTTAAAGTTTTTCTTTTATTTTTTACTTTTTGCTAATTGTTAGTCCTACTCTTGTGGCTAAGACATTGACATTCACCATTGGATCTTGCAGTTATGGCACTCTATTAATTGGAAGAGGGTGAATGTTAATCATTTTAATTATTATTATGACATTTTCAGTGCTAAGTGTGCCCAGGAGCCTTTTAAATAAGGGAATCTACCAGATGATAATAGGGAAAAATTTTACTCCTTCCCTGTGTGGTTATGATTTAAAGGTGAAAATAAGTGCAACATAGCTAAATGAAATTATTAGTTGGTGTCAAGTGTTATAATTTTATCAGCTCTTAATAATGTCTTTCCCCAGAGCCTTCTTCTAAGATGTTTGTAGGTAATTTAAAGTACAATATAGATGTTTCACCACCACTCTGTACAATTTAGATTTTTCAGCTTTAATGTTCTCTAGTTGAAGGACAAATCTAATAGTGTTAACCCTTAAATTGCTTGCCCTTAAGGCATGAAAATCATTGCTCCATCTCTAGGAAGTATAAGAGCAGCACCAGATGTGGGTGGGTGGCTGAACAGCAGAAAGATTTTTCTTTTTTAATTCTCTTGGGCTGGATTCCAATGGATAATTTGAAAGTAAAAACTCTCTTATTGCCTGATTCCAGAGCCAAGAGTTTACTTTTTATCGCTCATAGTTTTTTTTTTTTTTTCTAACTCTATACTTTATCAGTGAGAGACATTTCTAATGCTCAGAAAAAAACCTGAATCAGCAATTGCCCACCTTAGTTTTGGAAATTCTCCACAACATAATGCTGCTTTAATATCTTTTGCAAGTTTGGGTATTAGTCTCTTCTTTAAAATAATTGGGACTAAAACTGTTTGTAACGTCCAATGACAGTATGCTTTTTTGTAGAGCCTTTTATGTATGAATCACAAAGCAGTTTGCAAACAATAACTCAGTTTTCCCAGCTCCCTGGTGAGGCAGCTGCCATTAGTCCTGTTTTACAGATGTTCATGAAACAACCAGGGAGCTGCAGGGAGCAGCCTAATGTCAGGCAATGAGTCAGTGGGAAAGTTGAGGAAGGTCTTTTTTTTTTAACTGTGTGTGTCTTTATCAGGTGTAACATGATGTCTTAAAGCAGATAAACACTGTGAAATGGTTAAATCTAGCCAACTAGCAAATGAATTATTTCATGTATTTACAATTTTTTATAATACAACATTCACTTTCAGAAATCTTCAAAAATTGAATATAATGTAATTAACTCTATCACCATGCTGTGCAACAGATCTCCCACTTCCTACTCCTATGTAGCTGGAAATATGTATCCTTTGACCAACATCTCCCCAAGACCCTTCCTCTGGCATCATCTCACCTACTCCACCCTGTGTATGTACCACATTTCTTTATTCTTTCACCTACAGATGGACACTTCAGTTGATTTTGAGTCTTGGTTATTATGAATAGTGCTTCAATTAAAAGGGAATGCAGGTATCATTTTGAAATACTGAGATTATTTCTTTGGGTATATACCCAGTAGTGGGATTGCTGGGTTGTATCTCAGTTCTATTTTAAATTTTTTTAGGAACCTCTGTACTGTTTTCCACAATGGCTATTCTAATTTACGTTCCCACCAAATTATTCTCCATGTCCTCCTCAATGCTTATTATCTTTTTTTTTTTTTTGACAGGCAGAGTGGACAGTGAGAGAGAGAGACAGAGAGAAAGGTCTTCCTTTGCCGTTGGTTCACCCTCCAATGGCTGCCGTGGCCAGCGCACTGTGCTGATCCGATGGCAGGAGCCAGGTACTTATCCTGATCTCCCATGGGGTGCAGGGCCCAAGCACTTGGGCCATCCTCCACTGCACTCCCTGGCCACAGCAGAGAGCTGGCCTGGAAGAGGGGCAACCGGGACAGAATCCGGCGCCCTGACCGGGACTAGAACCCTGCAAGGCGGAGGATTAGCCTAGTGAGCCGTGGCGCGGGCTCTTATTATCTTTTGTCTTTTTGATATATGAGCAACCAATCCAACAAGAGTGATATCTTATTGTGGTTTTGATTTGCATTCCCCTGATGCTTTATGATGTTGGGTAGAGGTTCTGGCATAGTGGGTAAAGCTGCTGCTGCTTAAGGTGCTGGGCATCTCATGTGGGTGCCGGTTCGAGTCCTGGCTACTTCACTTCTGATCCAGCTCCCTGCTAATGCACCTGGCAAAACAGGGGAGGATGGCTGGGACCTTTACTCCCAAGTCCCTGGGACCTTGCCACCCATGAGGGAGATCTGGAAGAAGCTCCTGGCTTTGGCCTGATGCTGTCCTGGCTCTTGCAACCATTTGAAGAATGAACCAGTGAATGGAAGAGCTTTTCTCTTTCTCTCACCCTCTCTCTTTGTAATTCTGCCTTTCAAATAATAAAAACAAATAAATCTTAAAAAAATAGAAAAATGATGTTGAACAGCTTTTCATATACCTGTTGGCCATTGGTATGTTCTTTAAATATGTATCTATTCAGATTTGTTGCCTATTCTTAAATGTCATTTCTTTTATTTTTACTAAGTTGTTTGATTTCCTTATATGTTTTGATATTAACTCTTACTTTTTAAGATTTATTTATTTACTTGAAAGTCAGAGTTACACAGAGAGAGAAGGAAAGGCACAGAGAGAGAGAGAGAGAGAGAGAGAGAGAGAGAAGTTTTCTATCCACTGGTTCGCTTCCCAGTTGGCCGCAATGGCTGGAGCTGCGCACATCTGAAACCAGGAGCCAGGAGCTTCCTCCAGGTCTCCCACGCGGGTGCAGGGGCCCAAGGACTTGGACCATCTTCTGCTGCTTTCCCAGGCCATGGTAGAGAGCTGGATCAGAAATGGAGCAGCCAGGACACGAACCGCCACTCCTATGGGATGCTGGCACTGCAGGCAGCAGCTTTACCTGCTATGCCACAGTGCCAGCCCTGGATATTAACTCTTGATTAAATATATACTTTGCAAGTATTTTCCCCCCTTCTGTAAATTGTCTATTCACTTTGTTGCTCTTTTGCTACACAGAGACACTTTTAGTTTGAAGTAATCATAATTGTCTAATTTGGCTTTTGTTGTCTGTGCTTTTGAGATCATACCTAAAAAAATCATTATCCAGACCAAAATGATAATGATTTCCTCCTTTTTTTCTAGAATTTAAAACAATTTATGAGTATTTATGTCCTCTTTCATTCTTCATTAATATTTTATAGTTTTCACTATAGATATTTCACCATGCTGTGTACATTAATTTCTAAGTATTTTTGTAGATATTGTAAACTGCATTTTTCTTTATTTCTTTTTCAGATAGTTTATTGTTAGTGCTTAGAAATGCTACAAGGAGGGGCAGACATTGTTGTGCAGTGGGTTAAGTCCCCACTAAGAATGTCTGCATCCCATATTGGAGTGCCTGAGATCAACTTCTGCTTCTGCTTCAGATCTAGCTTCCTGTTCATGCAACTGGGAAGCAATAGAGGATGGCCAAGGTACTTGAGTTCCTGCTACCTATGTGGGAGACCTGGATGGAGTTTCTGGCTCCTGCTTTGGCTTGGTCTAGCTCTGATTGTAGCAGGCATTTGAAGGACCCAACCTGTTGATGGAAGGTCTCTTTTTCAATCACTTTGATTCTTAAATACATAAATAGAAAAAAAAAACTTAAAAAGAGAGAAATGGACTACTTATCCATGATGAATTTGAATTCTACAATTTTACTGAATTTATTAGTTCAGTTTTCCTTTGGTGAAATCTTTAGTGCTTTCTATGTATAAGATCATATCATCTGTAAACAGGAATGATTTAACCTCCTCTTTTTTGAAATAAGGATTTATTTATTTATTTGAAAGACAGAGTGTCAGAGACAGAAAGAAATCTTCCATCTGCTGATTTACTCTCTAAATGGCTACAGCATCCCGGGCTTTGCCAGAAGCCAGGAATTCCATCATTCACTGCTTCACAGGTGCATTAGGAGGAAATTGGATTGGAAGCAGTTTAGCCAGGACTGCAACTGGAGTTCCCATGAGGATGCAAGCATCCCAAGTAGCAGCTTTACTTGCTGTACCACAGCACCTGCCTTTTCAATTTGGATGATTTTACTTCTTTGTCTTGCTAATTGCTCTAGTTCCAGTTCCAGTACTATGTTGAACAGGAGTGGTGAGAGTGGCTATTCTTACTTTGTGTCAGATTTTAGAGGAAAAACAAGTTTTTTCCATCACTATAGTATTAGTTGTGGATATGCCACATATGACTTTCATTGTGTTGAGATATATTCCTTCTATACCTAATTTGTTGTGATTTTTTTTTATTTGAAAAACAGAGTTACAGAGAGAGGTCTTCCATCCACTGGTTCACTCCCCAGATGGCAGCGATGGCCGGAGCTGCGCCAATCCAAAGCTGGGAGCCAGGAGCTTCTTCTGGGTCTCCCAAGTGGGTGCAGGGGCCCAAGGACTTGGGCCATCCTCTACTACTTTCCCAGGCCACAGCAGAGAGGAGGAGCAACCGGGACTAGAACCAGTGCCCATATGGGATGCCAGCTCTTCAGGCCAGGGCTTTAACCCTCTGTGCCACAGCACCAGCCCATGTTGTGACTTTTTATTGAAAAGAGATGTAAAGTGTTTTCAAATGCTTATTTTTCATCCTTTGTAATGATCATATGGTGTTTTTTCCCCCCTCATTCTTTTAATGGGATGTATCACATTTACTGTCTTGCATCTGTTGAGTCATCCTTGCATTCCTGGTTTCAATTGTATTTTTTTTTTTGAAGATTTTTGCATCCATGTTGATGAGCCCTGTAGTTTTGCATATGTATGTATGTTGTTTTTATTGTTGTTGTGTCCTTGTGTCGTTTCTGTTTCAGGATAATGTAAGCATTGTAAAAATGAGTTTGGAGGAATTTCTCTTCAATGTATTAGAAGGGTTTGAGAAGAATTAGTTTGGGAATTTTCTGTCACTATTTCTATAAATAAGCTTTCTACACACTTCTCTTTTTTCATTTTCTTCAAAAACTGCTGTAGCTCAAACATTTGCTCTTTTGATGCAGTCCCATAAAACCTGTAAGTAATTTTAAATTAATTTTCATTCCTTTATACCCCCCGGCTGCATATTTTCAAATAACCAATACTTAAATTCACAGATTCTTCTGTTCGGTCAAGCTGTTGTTGATGCTATCTATTGCAATTTTCATTTCATTTATTATGTTTTTCAGCTTAGTATTTCTGTATGATTAAAATTATTACAATTTCTGTTAAATGTCTTAGTCTTATCACTTATTGATTTCTTCATTTCTTTGAATGGTTTCTCTGTATTTTCTTGAATTTCCCTGTTTTCTTAAAACAATTATTTTGTATTCTTTGTCATTTTTCCATTTCTTTAAAATTATTTTTGTATTTATTTAAGTTTATTTTCAAGGTAGATGGAGATCAATCTTTCATTCACTGGTTACCTCCCTCCCCCACACCACATCCAGAAATTCTTATAGCAGCCAGGGTTGGGACAAAGCAAGGAGCCCAGAACTCAATTCAAGTTTCCCACATGTGTGGCAAGGACCCAAGTACTTGAGTCATCACCTGCTATCTCTGAGGGTGCACACAGCAGAAAGCTGGATTGGAATCAGAGGAGCTGGATTTCAAAACCAGGCATCTGATGTGGGATGTGCGTGTCTTAAGTAGTGTCTTGACCAATGAACCAAATACCTGCCCCTAAAATCCATTCCTTTAAGGTTTGTGATTGGGGTTTTATTTTTCCCTGGGTTATATCATGTTTCCCTGATTGTTCTCAATTCTTGTGTTGGTGCTTCAATGTCTTTACATTGAAGCATAGGTAATTATTCCAATCACAACCTGGATATGTCTGGGTACAGTCTTTTTTTTTTTTAACCTTTATTTAATGAATATAAATTTCCAAAGTACAGCTTATGGATTACAATGGCTTCCCCCCCATAACGTCCCTCCCACCCGCAACAGCATACCTGTGAAGAGAGTATGGGCAAGTCATCTGTCTGATCCCTAAGCCTTTTACTACTGTAGTCATTCCAGTTTTAGGAGTACCCTTAGCCCAAACTGCCAAGGTAGATGCAGTGCCTGGCCACAGTCTAGTGACTACTAAATCTGGTGTTGGGACAAGTCCAAAACTTATCCCTGCTGAGGCTGGCACACCATTGTAGAGCACTTACAGCCTGCATCTCTTGAGTCCTTTACCTTTCTGTAAAGGTAACATTATCTTTGATGTGTTTCCATTAGGGTAAAACACATGATCTTTAATAATATGTTCTTGCTCAACCTAGTCTGAAAACAAAACATTGATAAGTCATTTCTTAAAAATATTGATTATTTCTGAAGATATCTACTATATTTCATCTCTTTTACTTTATATTAATGCTTACTTATTCTTCTGAATTATAGCTCCAGATTCTGGGGTAATGTTAAATTTAGCATGACCATAATTCTTGTATAGAATACATAATATAGTTCTTCATTCTGAAAATTTCTTTTAGGTTTTCCTAGTCATTTTTACTTTTTCTCTCTCTAATGCTCAGTTTTTTTTAACACATTATATATTTTTGTACCTCTCAGAATAATACCTAAATTTAAAAGCTTCAGAACCAAAAGTTACTGTTAAGCTCTCAATGGGTTTCTGGGCAAGGGCAGGTATGTTGGCTTATATCAGTGGGGAAAAAGCAATTAAGTGAAAATGAAATTGGGCATCAGTCCCAGTGGATTCTTTTCATGAATGGTCAATTTATCAACCCTTAGCTCTTTTGTTGCTTAGCCAAAGCAATTGCTTACTTCATGTTCACTTGATAGTTCAATATCAAAGATAGCCATTGTCAGATAAGCAAGGACAGATCAATGTTCTGTGATTAGGGTAAGACAACTGATCTTTTATCTTGAGCTGTGATCTAGTTACCTGGAATTAAGTTTCAAGTAGGGAAAGAAACCTTACCATAAAACAAAAAAAAGGTGTTTATGCTCAGTTTGACTCGTATTTTAAATAATAATAACTGTAACAGTGAGAGTCACCAACTCACAGAATACAAGATTAGGACAGAAAATGGAAGGTAGTCTAGGAGTTGGGAAAAATTCAGTATTCTCACCTTTACTACTGGTTTTTGATTTTTTATGTTAATTCTATCTTCATAATTTTCAATCTACAAGTTGCTAAACAATTTCATTTAAAGCATAAGATAGTGTAGTCTCCAAAGAACAGATCTTTTCATATTGTTGACTTTCTTATAGCTTCAAGTAACTCATGGGAACTCCTGTGTGTCCCACTACTTCATCTGATGTATAAGGCCCTGAACACATGTATTCTCCAAAGATGATGGATCTTCATGGTATTTAATTAAGAAATCAAACCAGAAGAAGAGATTACCACTGAAGGAGTGGCAGTGAGGCCCAACAGGATAAGCCGCTGCTTGGGAAACTCACATCTCATATCAGAGTGCTGTATTGAGGCCCAGATACTCTGCTTCTGATCCAGCTTCCTGCTAATACATCCTGGGAGATGGCCATTGATAGCTCACATGCTTTGGTGCCTGCCACCCTTGTAAAAGACTTGGGTATAGTTCTTTGGCCTGGCCCAGCCCTGGTTTTTGAGGGCATTTGAGAAGTGAATAAGCAGATGGAAGATTCTCTCTCTCTCTCTCTCTCTCTCTCTCTCCCCCCCTAGCTCTTCCTTCAAGTACATGAAAATAATAAACAAATAAACATTTAAAAATTACCAGTGAGTGGCTTAAATACCTTGAAGGTGCTGAGAACTTTCTTCTTTGGCCAGATTTATTCTATCTGGGGCATGGCCCTTTATGTGACTGTCTGGTATCCCACGTCAAAGGAGATGTAAAGGACATCTTGTTGGTATCTCCAATTCCTGTAAGAATCCCCTTCACAAAGTCTTTAGACAATGAGCTCTCTGTTTACTCAAATCATTTCAAAAAATGCAGAATGTGAAATTCAGATTTTGAGAGTAAACCAAACCCAACTCTGGGATTCCTAGTCTGGAATCCTGGCAATTTTGGAAATGATGGTAAATCTGATTTCATGGCTAAAACAATATTTGCAGTCCTACCTCTTCATCCAGAACCTTGTCATTTTCCTACCAAGAAATGCGGTCTATTCACCTTCTCTTGAACATGGGAAGAGGTTGGTGAAGCTGATGTTGCAGGACTTCTGAGCCTAGGTTTGAAAAGTGAAATAGTTTCTGCCTGACTGTGTCTCTTCCAGTTCTGTCTTGGAGCCAGCCACAGTGTTTAAGAATCCTGGCCAAATGGAGAGGCTACACATAGGTAACAGGGCTGACAGCGAGCAGGAACTGTCAATAAAGTGACTAAATTTGCCTTTAAACAATCACAACCTCCTGTTTCTTTATTGATCCCGTACATCCTACAGCAGAGACAAACTGGGTTTGTTGTATTCTGTCCAAATTCCTGAGCCACAAAATCCATGAGCAAAATAAGAGGTTATTTTAAGTTTCTAAATTTTGTAGTGATTTATTAAGGATTAATTGATTAGCAGAAGAGAGAATTGAGTACTTGGAGTACACAGGTGTATGTCAATGTGAGTGGGTGGTAAGTGGGTATATTCTCTGAGTTAAAAGGAGTTTTAAAAATTTGCTAAAGCACTCTAAATATTTACTATTTTTATAATCCATTTAAGCATGATTAATGCCATTTAAGCATTTATTAAATCGTTGCCATGATTTTTGTTGTATTTTTGCCATATTTTAGATCAATCTCACTATTACTCATATTATGTATGTTATTTATTTTATATAAACTTTTATTACTTTTGTATTAACACACTTCCTAAATAAAAATCTTGCTTAAACTTCATTTTATGTAATAATATCCATGAAATTATGGCTTGGATAAATCAGTTCTATTTTACTTAGGGTTTGTACATTTTCTATCTAAAATGCTTTCCTATTCCACAGTTGGTACATATCTCATTTGGAAAAAAATGTCCTTTAATTTTGGAAAACAGCTGTGACATGAAGTCAAGAAGAATAAAATTATCTTCCAATCCTTTTGGGTGGGTTATCAACATTTAAGTATCAGCCTATGTCAAGGAAAAAGCTGTGTGTGATTAGGAAGTTTTAAAATATGCCTACAAATAGTTGTTTTAATGATATGTAGTTTCTTATCAAAATATTACTGGCTTGATGCTCAGTTGGTATACAAATCTTTCTCTTGGATTTCGTGCACAGGGTTATGTAGGTTTTTTAGGGGCTTTGCACTAAGAATGCTGTTATTTCTAATTCCTTCAAATTAGAAAGTCTTGGAACATGGCATCTCAATCTAAGTTTTCCTAAAAGCAGAGCTGAAGATAGTTTGAGAATTTTATTCCAGGGAATGCAGCACAGGGTGAATGAAATAGAGAAATAAGGGAAGTTCCCCCTTCCTCCTCCCCACCCCCACCCCTGCAAAATATCAGCAAGTTGGCCATGATTGCAAGCAACTTATGCATGATCCTGTGGGACTTTCTGGAGTGGGTTTCAGAACCCATCTATCTGGAGCTGAAAATTGGAAACATTTTCCTGCTGGTTTACATTTTGTGTTGCCCAAGTGAGGCCCCACTTCTACAGCACATACATGAATAGTGGAGAGCAAGTCAGCCTGCCCCTCCCCAGCCTGGCACCAGAAAGGATCTCTTGAGAGGATCTCTCAAGAAGTAGGTTAAAGACTCCAAAGTGATGGGAACCTTGTTTGGTGGCCACCACCAAGATGCTGGGCTACCCTTGTGCATAAAGGCTACAGCTGGAAATGGGTTAAGACAATGTTGAAGCCTGATACATTTGGCAAGAGGCTCCCTTTGTGGGACTTGGTCTTTCATCAACCACCTGAGAAAACTGTAGTAGAGGAATTTAAAATTCAGCTCTGGTAGTCTAATTCTCAATTTTAGGTAGTGCTACCTGATGCTGCATTTCTATTCCTCTGGATAGGCAGTTCAGGCCAAAAAGAGTTTTGTTGGAAGGGCAGAAACACACATCAGCTAGGTAATGCTAAGAGAAGGTTTATATACTCTTCCTGTCTCTTACATAGCTTCTAGTATCCTTACCCTACTGAGTACTTACTAGCCTCCAAATAATTCTGAGTCAGAGAAGACATTTTGCTGATGTGGTACCTGCTCGCTTAGGCCCTATACATAAACATTACACATGCCTGATCACAAATGGGCCTATTTTACATGGAAAACACACATGGGTTTTCCCATGTGAATTTGTTGTGACAACAAACTTGGGATTCTACTCACCTTTCCTTTCTTGACAGCACCTTGATTTTGATATCCAACGAAGGCTTACCTGAAAACTTAGATGAATTTGGAAATAAGCATCAAGAGAGAGAGGATGGTTCTATTTAGGAGTTTTCAACCTTGACACCCTGTCTGATCATTTATTTTTACACAAGTCATATAGCCAGCCATTGCTATTTTCAGGTTCTATAAGCAACAACGTTTGCTGGTTTTTGCTTGATTCTTTTCACCTTCTGCTTTTTGTGCTACAGTTCTCCCAAGCCCGAAAGATTCAACTCTTCTTAGGATTGATGCTTTTTGAAAATAGGTTGGAAAATGAATTTCAGTTCAGTTTTGTGGTGCAAATCACTTGGGTTTTAGTACTTTATAATGTCTAGGTTACTAAAGATTCTGGAGATTCAACCTAGAGGCCTTATGAAAAGTTGGGAGGAAAAAAAGCAGAACAATTCAGCCAAGATGTATTTACATTTTACAATAACCGTTGTACTCTGTACCTAAACTTCTGAGTTTCCCTTTGATGTTTCTTAAGAGACGATGAATAGCTGCAATTTGAGAGCATGAACACTCTGAAAAAGTGCAAAATGACAGAATTACATTATGTATTAATTTTTGTACAAGTTTACTCTTCTTCCCTTTGGTGAGGCTAAGTGATTTGCTCTGAACTGGGATTGTTCAGTGTTATCACCAACGTTGGGATGAAAAATACTCTTTCTGCATATCAAACCTTTAGTGCCCACACCTGCTTCACTCATTTTACTCTCAAATGCTTAGCCTTGTAAGTGATTGCTGTGATTCAGTTTGGAGTGAAAGAATTGCTCATTTCCAGCCTGGGATAATTATTGTATAGGACTTAGATTGTCCTATACAAACGAGAGCCAATTATCCAACAGTGATGAAGATAATGGCTACTAGATCCCTCGTCATCTGCTCTCATCAACTCTCCTCACTTCACGCTCTGCAGACCTGGGAATAATCTTCATAATTCCATTTGCAGAGAGGAAGTTTCATATCCCACAGAACTATGTAGTAGTAGTGGTTGACTGGCCATCTATTTTTCTTACATTCCAATGAAAGGATGATTTATTAATTATTCTTCATGACATTGTTGAAATTGTATTTGGTTCAAGCTTCACATGATTGTCAATGTGTGTTTTTTCTTTAGCACTTCCCAGTGTATCCAAATAAAGAATAAAATGCTTGTGCCTAAAAGTAGAAGGTAGGATGGTACTGAGTAGCTTCCCTAAGTGTACCCTGGATAGTGTAATTTCAGCGAATAGCAGAGAAGTGAATTGATTTTTCAGGTCTAGGTGGCAAAAAACTTTCTGAATAAAAGTTTCACATTCTGAAATCATTTTTGACTGAGATTTCAGAAATGGTCTTCTTCCAATCACAATGTAGGCCAAATCAGTACTTTCATTTAGTAATTAAATCTAAGGGATCTATTAACAGATTGCCTGCTATTTAACACCTGCCAAATGGCAGATTGTCTAGAAATCGGGTAAGGCTGAGAAATCCGTTCACATCTCTGTTATCCTCTCACAATTTGCTGCATGTACAACCATTATAAGTAATTGTAATTTCCTGTTGTAGCTTCAAACTACTGATGGCTCCCTGCTATTATTGCTTTATTTGGAGCAAACTTGTATCTTATTCTAGTGAAGCAAAAGTTGTCCAATCTTATGCAGAATGAAGATATATATGAAGTATAAGGAAAGGAATGTTTGTAACTGGCATTTAATTTATTTATTCATTTGAAAGGCAGAGAGAGAGAGAGAGAGAGAGAGCAAGAGAGATAGAGATGAGAGAGGGAGAGAGAGAGAAGGAGAGAGAGAGAGAGAGCTTTCAATCGACTGTTTCACTCCTAAAATGCCTCTTAGAGCCACGTCCAGGCCAGGCTGAAGCCAGGGGCCCAGAACTCTATCCAGGTTTCCCATGTGGGTGGGCAGGGCCCAAGCACTTATGTCACCTGCTGATTTCCCAGGCACAATATCAGGGAGCTGGAAAGGAAACTGAACAAAAAGGGTCCAAATCTGTGCTCTGATATGGGGTGACTTAATGTGCTGTGCCACAAAGTGGTCCTGCTATTTTATTTATTTAGTTTGTTTTCATTGTTAAGCAGCTGATAAATTTGGAAGATAAATGAAGACCATATCCATCACGATGTCATCAATGAAGCAGGAATTGAATTTTTTTTAAAAAAAGATCCTGTTCACAGCTTAGTGAAGGTGTGTCATCATGTTGAAAGCATTCTCATCATGGGTTGGCTGCTCACAGGTGCTGTTTTATTTGAAACTCAACTTAGTCAAATATGAACTGCATTGACCTCAGCGAGCCACTCAACCTCTTTGAACTTCAGGGCCTTTGTGTGACATGATGCTTACTCCGTGGCCTTGCTGTAAGGACTCAAAGAGACGGGGTCTGCAAAGCCCCAAACTCCATGCCTGCAAAAGAGGGGTGTGCTCAAAAAGCATTCATTGCCTTTTCCTAAAGCTGATGAGAGATATTTTGTAGGATCTTTTAATCTGTAATTTCAAACTTTCAATGGAAAAGAGGAATCAGGACAGAATGATAAAAATGTCTGCCGCACCAGGAATGGGGCAATGGAGACAAAAAGATTTTCCTGGCAACCCTATTACTGACTTCATTTTTTGGCACTTATGCCATTGAGTGTAACTCTTTGATAGTAGCCTGCAGATCTGTGGCCAGTAGAAGCCTGTAAACTACTCATGCATTTTAAAACAGACAAGCCAGGCCCAGTGACCAGGGACTCTAACCTTCAAACACTAACTAACACTAACTAGGACATTCTCTGTGGTGGGAAAAAAGTAGTCACAACATTGTGGAAAGTAGTCATCTCATTAATTTCACGCTATTCCTGGGAACACACTGCGAGTCACTGAGGGAGTGGTAAGATGCTGGGGGCTGAGCCCTGGGAACTGTAATAGAGCTCCCCACACAGCCTCCTCTTGTTTGGATGTGTCATTCACCCCCAATTAGATGAATGATGCTTTTGCAAGGGGACTTCTGATGAGTTCTGACATAAAGCTGTTTGCTTTGTGGATATTTACAACAGCCTTCCTGTAGCCCTCAAATACATGTAAATCCATTAGTGTGCCCATGCCCTGCCCCAGGTAAGCCAGTTTATGAAAATGAACCAGATCTTACAGCTGTTTTGAGGTAGAAATACCCTGAACACTTACCCTGTGCTGAATTTATGTATATTGCCAGAGTTGAAGCAGTTCTTTTAGCTGTGTACAAGGGGATCATTTCAGAATGGAATATATTGTTGTGAGATGAAGTCAAGTTTCCCCAAGCATAGAAAGAATTACTAAATGTTATAGCATACTCTTCACCCATCCATAATTACACAGCATTGACCAAGTTTCTGTATATACACATTCTCCCCTCTCTTTTTCTCTGATAGCGAAAATGACCTTGAAGAGTGTTCATCCATGATTAAAATGCATCTTATCCAAATATATTTATGTGAAGGTAAATATCTTCTATATGTATTGGGCAAATTGGGAGAAAGATAGTGCAACTTCAAATTAACATTATAATCATTTAAAAGTTAAGCCTGTTCCACTAGCATGCTAATGAGGCCCATGAGTCATCATTATCCATTGTTGTTAGATTAAATATTTTTACAAATAAAGCTCATCCAATTTATTTATAAAGGGTCTTTGGCTACAAGTGCTGTTGTTTTTAATTAGCTTCTTATTTGTTTTGTTCATTGAACATGGAGGGAGTCCCACTGCCCTTCCACCTTTCCATAGGCATCTTAATTTGGTCATCTGGTGATTTTGAGAGTCAGCTCCTGCTTTGGATGCAAGACTTTGTATTCTTTTTCCTGGCAGGTCTTGCCATTGTCACCTTGAAACATATTCAAGCAGGCACCATCCACCTTCCCTATCAGAAGACCCGTTAGCTACGGAAGAGTGACTGATTAAGTCATGCTTAAAACAGATTAACTGCCAATGACAAACCAAACAGAGTGTGAGCTTGTAATCAGTACTGGTCAGAAGGGAGAGAGTGTGGGATGGATGTGGCGTGTCTGGTGTTGTGGTCAGAGTGACACTCATCGTCTGCAGGCATGATGAATGACAGATGCCGTGTGGGCTGGGATGACCAATAGCTTTGAAGCTGTCAACCGACCTTCTTAATCCAGACTAAGTACAGTGCAGAAGACTTATGACTTAGTTACCAAACTACTAAACTTTCTTTACGAGGAGGAGGGCTTCTCAAGAGACAATTAACTTGAGATTCACAAGCTGTTCTAAGACAAGCTATTGTGAGCCAAAGAAGCCAGGGAGACCAAGGAGGGAGCCCCACCCACCTGCAAGGATATATAAAAGCTCTGGAGCCTGAAGTGGCACTCACAACTTAGGAGCTAACTTCACTGAAGTACCTTCAGCCCTCTCTCTGACATCATGTCCTTCAACTGCTCCACAAGAAATTGCTCTTCCAGGCCGATCGGAGGACGGTACACTGTCCCCGTGGCCCCAGCTGCCACGTCTTCAACCCTTGAAGGCGACTGCCTGAGTAGCATCTATTTGCCCAGTTCCTTCCAAACTGGCTCTTGGCTCCTGGACCACTGTCAGGAGTCCAGCTGCGAGCCTACTGTCTGCCAGCCTACTTGTTTCCAGCGAACTTCTTGCATCTCCAGCCCTGCGCAGGTAACTTGCTCGCGGCAAACTACCTGTGTCTCCAATCCCTGCTCAACTGCCAGCAGCCGACCATTCAGCTTTGTCTCAAGTGGCTGTCAGCCCGTGGGAGGCATCTCCAGTGTCTGCCAGCCAGTGGGCAGCATCTCGACTGTCTGCCAACCAGTGGGAGGAGTCTCTTCTGTCTGCCAACCAACCTGTGGGTACTCCCGGACGTACCAGCAGTCCTCCTGTGTGTCCAGCTGCCGAAGAACTTGCTAAGTGTGTAGGATCCAGTGAGTCAAGACTCCGTGACCTGCCAGCTGTGCTTCCAGGATTGTCCAGCATGCTGCCTGAAAACTCTTCATTGCTAAACACTATACTGACTGCCTGATTGCTGGCTGCTAGCCATGCACAAGCCGCCTTTGGCATGCTCAAAATTTTCTAGCCAGCACCAAGCTTATTTTAAGGGTTGGCCACTGGTGCTATGTAGTCGCTGGATGTTTCCAGAAGCTTTTTCATTCATGCCCCAGGCTCTGATAATTTTGTCATGTTTTGACCTTGCTGCTGAATCTCCTGACCTCTGCTTCTGTGTCTGTGAAAGAGGGAGCTTGTCTCACTATGTATTTCTCAATAAACCTGCATTAGTTGGCATTGCAAGTATGTCTCCACAGAGTCCTTTGTTTGCAAGTTATTTTCAGTCTGGGAGTCATTTTATGCTGATCAGGGTCTGATTGAGCTTAGTGTGTGGGTTTAGTCTTAAGATATTTTACTTGTTCATAGAGAGTGTTCGGCTTCGATGTGAAGTAAGGGTTAAAAGCTTGGAAGGAATGGTTTGTCCTGTATATTTCCCCCAAGTTTTAGGAGCTCACAGAATGACTCGCATGAGAGAAAAGGAAATGTTACCCAAGAGTTCAGGTAGTTCAGAGACTTTTATAGGGAAAGCGGCAGTGAGATCAATGAGAGACACTGAGTTTTATTATTCAGGGGACCATAGCAGCAAAGGTTGCAGCAGAGCACTCCTGGATGAGAAGGGATGGAATAAGAAAAGGGGAACGGTACAACAGTGATTTCTAGGACCTGAGATTTTCTGCACCAACAGGGTCATGTATCAGTTTGTTTTCTGCTGCTGCTAACACAATCCAACAGATTATGTAAGTTATAAAAGACAAAAGGCTGTTCTAGCCCACAGTGCTGGAGCTGCAATTTCTTTTTTTTTTTTTCATTTTCAATTAACTTTATACACAGAAGGCCATTTAAACAAATTGCACACACATGCACACACACAAAAATATTTGGGAACAAGTTTTACAGTTAATTCCCTTAATACAACTCACTGAGGACAGAAGTCCTACATGGGAAGTAAGTGCACAGTGACTCCTGTTGTTAATTTAGCAATTAACACTCTTATGTATAATGTTAGTGATCACTTGAGACTCTTGACATGAACTACCTAGGCTATGGAAGCCTTTTTAATCCACAATCTCCTTAAATATTTAGGTAAGACCATAATCAAAGTGGAAGTTCTCTCTTCCCTTCAGGGAAAAGTACATCCTTCTTAGATTGGCATTTCTCTCCATTGGGGTCTCACACTGATCCTTTATGTAGAACATATGTAGCCACAGTGTCTTGGCTTTCCATGTCTGAAATGCTGTCATGCTCATTCAGCCAGACCAGAATGCCTTAAGGGCTGATTCTGAGGTCAGAATGCTGTTTAAAGAGATTGTCATTCTATGAATCTGCTGTGTGAAGTGCTTCCTATGTTGGAACATTCTCTCCTTTTTAATTCTATTATTATCACCAGACACTTGATCTTATTTACATGATCTCTTTAACACTTAATTCCATCTGTATGATCACTTTAACACTTAATGTGGTCACTTTAACACTTAAGATGATATTTTTACCACCCAGCTTAATAGGATTTGGGGTCCCATGGCAGATTTTTAAACTGTACCCTTAGAAGTAAGTCTGTAGGAATGTGTGAAGAACTCTACAGCTTTACAGTTACAAAATTCCTTTTTCCTCTCTTATTCCCACTCTTTTACTGAGATCTGTTTTCAACTGACTTTATACACATCTGATTAATTCTATGTTAAGAAAAGAGTTCAACAAATAGTATGAAGAAGAGAAAAAAAACTGTTCCTCTATAGTCAAGACAAGGACTGTTCAAGTCATTGCTTCTCAAAGTGTCAATTTGACTTCTATAGATTTTCTTTTAGGTGCTCTATTAGTTATTGCAGATCAGGGAGAACATATGGTATTTGTCCCTTTGTTTTTTTTTTTTTTAGATTTATTTATTTATTTGAAAGAGTTATAGAGAAGTGGAGGCAGAGACAGAGACAGAGAGAAAGAGTCTTCCAGTAACTGGTTCAGTCCCCAAATGGTTGCAATGGCTGGAGCTGAGCTGATCTGAAGCCAGGAGGCAGGGGCTTCTTCTAGGTCTCCCATGCAGGTGCAGTAGCCCAAGGACTTGGGTCATCTTCTACTGCCTTTCCAGGACACAGCAGAAATTTGGATCAGAAGTGGAGCAGCCAGGACACTAGAACCAGCACAGTAGGCAGTGGCTTTATCTGTTATACCACAGTGCAAGCCCCTGGGACTGGCTTATTTCACTAAGCGTGATGTTTTCCTGGTTCATCAATTTTGTTGCAAATGGCTGGATTTCATTTTTTACTGCTGTGTAGTATTCCATAGAGTACATATCCCTTAATTTCTTTATTCAGTCTTCAGTTGATGGGCATTTAGTTGATTACATGTCTTAGCTACTGTGAATTGAGCTGCAATAAACATGGGGAAGCAGACAACTCTTGTATTTGCTGATTTCATTTCCCTTGGGTAAATTTTGAGGAATGGGTGGCTGGGTCATATGGTGGGTCTATATTCAGTTTTTTGAGGTATCTCCAAAATGTCTTCCATAGTGGTTTTATCAGTTTACATTCTCACCAACAGTGGATTAGGGTACCTTTTCCCACACATCATTACCAGCATTTTTTGTTTGTTGATTTCTGTATAAAAGCCATTCTAACTGTGGTGAGGTGAAACCTCATTGTGGTTTTGATTTGCACTTCCCTGATGGCAAGTGATCTTAAACATGGTTTAATGTGTCTGTTGGCCATTTGGATTTCCTCTTTTAAAAATATCTATTTAAGCCCTTTGGCCATTTTTTAATGGGGTTGTTTGTTTTGTTGTTGTGGCATATCTTGATCTCTTTATATATTCTGGTTATTAATTCTTTCTCTGTTACATAGTTTGCAAATAATTTTTCCCATCCCATCAGTTGCCTCTTCACTTTCCTGAGTGTTTCTTTTGCAGTAAAGAAGCTTCTCAATTTGATGTAATCCCCTTTGTTAATTTTGGCTTTGGCTTTCTGTGCCTCGGGGGTACTTTCTAAGAACTCTTTGCCTGTGCCAATATCTTGCAGTGTTTCCCCAATGTTCTCTAATAATTGGTTGGTATCAGGTCATAGGTTTTGGTCTTTAATGTGTTTTGAATGGATTTTTGTGTAAGGTGTAAGGTGAGCTCCTGCTTCATACTTCTGCATGTGGGAACACAATTTTCTCAGCAGCATTTGTTGAAGAGACTGTCCTGGCTCCAGGGATTGGTTTTAGCTCCTTAGTTAAATATAAGTTGATTGTACATGCTTGGATTGATTTCTGGCATTTCTATTCTGTTCCATTGATCTATCCACCTGTTTTTGTACCAGTACTAGCCTGTTTTGATTATAACTGACTTGTAGTATGTCTTGAAATCTGGTACTGTAGCGCCAGCTTTATTTTGTTGCATGAGATCACTTTATCTATTTGAGGTTTCCTGTGTTTCCATATGAATTTCAGCATCATATTTTCCAGATCTGAGAAGAACGTCTGGCATTTTGATTGGTATCACATTGAATCTGTAAATTGCTTTTGGAAAAATGGACATTTTGATGATATTGATTTTTTCCTATCTATAAACATGGACAATTTTTCCATTTTTAATATCTTCTTCTATTTCTTTCTTTAATGTTTTGTAATTCTCATCTTAGAGATATTTTACAATCTTGGTTAAATTTATTCCAAGGTTTTTGATTTTTCTCAATTTTTCTCACAGCTATTATGAATAGGATTGACCTTAGAAGTTCTTAGCTGTGGCATTATCTGTGTATACAAACGTTGTCAAATATAAAGGTTGTCAAAAGGTGTTAATTTTGATTTTATATGTTGCTACTTTACCTAACTCTTCTATGAGTTCCAATAGTCTCTTGGTGGAGTATTTTGGATCCTCTATATACAGCATCATGTCATCTGAAAAAAGGGATAGTGTGACTTCCTCTTTCCCGATTTGAATTCCTTTGATTTCTTTTTCATGCCTATTGGCTCTGGCTAAAACTTCCAGGACTATATTTAATAGCAATGGTGAGAATAACAGTGGCATCCTTATTTGGTCCCAGATATCAGTGGGCATACTTCCAACTTTTCCCCATGCAATAGGACACTGGCCATGGGTTTGTCATAAATTGTTTTTATTGTGCTGAGGAATGTGCCTTCTATACCCAATTTGCTTAGAGTTTTCATCATAAAGGTGTGTTGTATTTTATCAAATGCTTTCTCTGCATCTATTAAGATAATCATATGATTTTTGTTCTTCAGTTTGTTGATAAGATGTATTAAATTGATTGATTTAAGAATGTTGAACCATTCCTGCATACCAGCGGTAAATCCCACTTGGTCAGGGTGAATGATTGTTCTTATGTGTTGTTGGATTCAATTAGCTAGGTTTCTGTTGAAGATTTTTGTGTCGATATTCATCAGGGAAATTGGTCTGTAGATCTCTTTCTCTGCTGTATCTTTTCCAGGTTTAGAAATTAAAGTAATGCTGGCTTCATAGAAAGAATTTGGGATATTTCTCTGCCTTCCAATTATTTCAAATAACTTAAGAAATATGGGAGTTAGTTTTTCAAATATCTGGTAGAATTCTGCAGTAAAACCTTCTGCTCCAGGGATTTTCCCTGTTGGGAGATTATTTATTATTGATTCAATTTCTGTCCTGTTAATGGGTCTTTTAGGTTTTCTACTTCTTTTTGGCTCAATTTAGGTAGGTTGTATGTGTCCAGGAATCTATACATTTCTTTTAGGCTTTCCAGTTTGTTGGTATACAGCTCTTTGTAGTAATTTCTGAAAATTATTTTTATTTCTGTTGTGTCTGTTGTTACATTTCCTTTTTAATCTCTAATTTTATTGACTTGGGTCTTCTCTCTCCTTTTTTGGCTAGTTGGGCCAATGGTGAGTCAATTTTGTTTATTTTTTTCAAAAAAAAACCCAGCCAATCGTTTTGCTGATTTTTTTGTTTCAATTTTGTTGATTTTATTCTCTAATTTTAATTATTTATTTCCTCCAACTAGTTTTAGGCTTGGTTTGCAGTTGTTTTTATAGATCCCTGTGATGCATTGATAGCTCATTTATTTGGTGCTTTTTTAATTTCTTGATGTAGGCATCAACTTCTATAAGCTTCCCTCTTAACCCTGCTTTTGCTGTATCCCATATGTTTTGATATGCTGTATTGTCACCTTCATTTGTTTCCTGAATTTTTTGGTTTCTCTTTTGCTTTATTCTATGATCCACTGGTCATTCAGGAGCATGTTGTGCTGTCTCCATGTATTTGCATATTCTCTAGAGATT